ATGGGATTCTCCAGGCAAGCATACTGGAGTGGGTTGCCATTCCCTTTTCCAGGGGATATTCCCAGCTGAGGGATCAAACCCAGGTGTCCTGCATTGCAGGCAGATTCTTTACCATCTGAGCCATTTTATCCTTTTGTTCTCTATTTTTCCAATGTTCTTCAATATACTTAATTTGTTTTTATAAAGGAAAAGGTAGACACTTTGGGACTGTACGTTTTGGACTTAAGTTTGAGTGACAATAAATAGGAAACAATTAAAAATTGACTTAGTATTCAAGTCAGGGTTTAGACACTGGAGACATTCAATAAATGTCAACTGAATGGAAGCTCTAATCAGTTTTCCGTCCCCTTTGGTTAGAATCTTAGAATCCTATTGCAATGCATTAGAAGTTTTACCATCATCTGAACTCACGTAGGCCCACAGAATGGGGGAAAAAACTCTGCTTTCCAACTTCATACCTGAAGCAGTTGGAGAGAACTCACCTTCCCTGTGCAAAAGTAATCACTCAGTCTCAAATAACATAGAAAAAACTTTATTTCAGACATACATCATTTCATAAAGTTATTTTTTTCTCCTGTACAAAGGGAACATTGATTGCTTTTCTGAATACTCATATCATTTTTCTTACCTAGCAGCTCTTGGTCAAGGGTCTGTTCTCTTGGTTTTCAAATTTTTAATGAAATAGAATCCAGAGGTGTACTTAACCTGTTGAGTTTTGATGGACTTTGATAATCCAGATACTTTCTAATTAAAGGACTTCAGTGCATTAGTTGAGTAGGTCAGCATACTGTGTGCCACAGCAGATGTGTTTTGGTTTAAGATTGCTGCTTTTGGAGTCCAGAGTCATATTTAGAAGGAACACTCCCTTTTCTCTGTTACTGTAATAAATTGAAAACATGTTTAAAGTTGAGGGAGGGGACACCATGAAGTGATCTGTTCATTGTTGTTGTGTCACGAGAGAAGAGCATGGCAACCCACTCCAGTATTCTTGCTCGGAATATTCCACGGACAGAGGAGCCTGGCAGGCTGCAGTCCATGAATTCACAGAGTTGGACTCAACTGAGTGACTTTCACTTTTTTACATGCCACAAGAACAAGGACCAAGCCCCCAGCACTCAGACTCAGTCTTGATATTGTCCAGCCAAGTGTCTGCGAACAAAAGGGTGTGCAAATTCATGTTTCACTCTCTAGTCACATGGTCTCGTGTTTCAGCACAAAGCCCAATTCTTCAACCATCTCTGCAACAAAAGGAGTGGTGGTAGGGAGAAAATGGTTTAATTTCGAGGTTACTGATTATATCATGGGGGGTTTAAATTGTCATTCAAAGCAAACAAGTAAGTGGAAACTTCGGTGATGTGTCGTGAGAGTAGCCAGGGGGTCTTCCTACCTGAAAATAATTCCCCACCAACTTTTCACAAAATTTAAGGTTCACACTGGAGTCTGGTCCTTCAAGGGCCTCTTGCATGAGTCGTATATGACTTATTGCATTGGCTTATCCATTTCTTAATGGATGTTTGATTAATTCATCTGATACCAGTAGTAATAGGACCCCCATGAAAATGGAGCACAGGTAAGTTCAGTGAACACGAATGGCAAGGGTATATGGAGGTAAGAAGGGTTCAGGGGCTAGAGCACAGTACTTGAGTCCCTTCCGAATCAGGGGTCACTTAAATGGATCTAAAGGCCAGGCCAAGGGGTGGAGTGCTTTCGGGGGACATCAAATTAATTTCAGCCAGGATCTGCCAAGCACTGTCTGCGTGGAAGTCAATGGAATAAGTATCCACAGAGACCAAAAGAAGGAAAAATACAACTTGGCCTTTTCACTCAAGGGAGTTAGCATTACAGTGTTTAGGAAAGAATTAAATAATTAAACATTTATGGGGTGTTTACTGTGTGATAGGTACCATTCTGAGTGCAATGTCTGTGTCATCTGACTGATGTTGTGATCAAGCCTATGACATAGGTACAAGGACTGCATTCCTTTAATAGGTTTGGAAACTGAGGCACAAGGGAATTCAAAGCCTTTCAGATTTTGGTCCCAGCATTGACTCCAGAGTCCTTGTTTTTAAGCATTATTCTATACTGCCTCCCAGATAACTTTTAATTTCAGGGCCTCTGAGCAAAGGTAAACAAAAATGTGACAGTATGTGTGTAATGCCAGATTTCTTCTATCTTGTTACCTGAAATCTTGTAGAATATGAAATATGCAAAGAATCTTTTTTGCTTGCCCGAAGATACTTGACTTGGATACTTGGATGCTTGACTTCTGATCCTAAATTTTCTTGGCTTGGGGTTAATTAGACCTAAGGGATTTTTTCTGTTTTTGTTCTAAAGCCTGAGCCAAGAAATATTTTCTTTTCAGACTTGCTACCTGCGATGTAGGCAGTCGAGCAGAGTTACTTGGTGGCCTTTGATCCCATTAGAGAGTTCTGAATTGGTAGCTCAGATCCTTAAATGAAATACGATATTAAAATAACACCAAACTGAGGTCATAGGAGATTGCAGTGTAACGTATGCAGTCAGAATAGCCGGGATTTAGGGCAAATAAAAGGAGTTTCAGTTGGCTTCATCTGCTCACTTTGTGCCTTTCCTTTCCCTCTCCACGGATTGTTAACCCATCTCTTCACTTAGCAGGAACACAGCAAAACACAAAATCTCTTAACTCCAGTGTAGGGATTTTAAAACTCTCAGAGTCTGATAATCAGCAGCATCCTTATCACTCCAGGAAAACCCGAGACAAATGCTTCTACTGAACTGGAATTTCTCAGAGTCCAACGTCTGCCCTCATGTCATCTTCCCGTGTCGTGAACATTTTTTATGTTCACGAATTTTTGCTTCATCACATTTGGCCTTTCTTAAGGGAGGCCTATCCCAGTGACCTTGTGTTTGCAGATGGACTGTGTTTCATCTGAGTCCTATTATTTTATTAAGGGTGGTCTGCAGGTCCTGTTTTTCTGCCTCCTTAGGAGTGACCAGCCTTCAGCAAAGGTAGTAGCTACTTCAGCAGTTACACAAACAGTATTTCAATGTACAGATTCTTTTAGCAAGTGTTGATTGGAAACTTTCTGTGTGCTGAAGCAGAACCTGGCCTAGGGTCTCCTTAAATTCCATACCCTCATCTCCTCACTTGCCTCACCTAGTTCTGGCCTTGAGTCCATGCAGTGTACAGGACACCAGGATCACAGAACTGCTAAAGATATGGCCTTTTATCCTATCTGGCAGTCTGTTGGAGACACATCAATCAACCATGGATATTGTTGTTGTTATCTCAAACCGTAGATTAAACCATGCTACACATTTTTTTATTCATTCTCTGTAGCTGACTAAAGGAGCTCAAAACAAGAAAAGTAATTTGGATATATGATTTCCTTTAAAGTAGCTTACAGATTTTCCTGAAAAAAAATAATCAAAATACTTCTCTGTGAAACCCTCGGAATTAACCTAGGGAAAAAGTATCTTTAATGCTGTCATTGACCAACTGAGTGAAAGAGTAAAACTCTCTTTTTTATCTTAATGAAAAGATAACAATAATAACTGCAGAGGCAAAACATATGTGGATCATAAGTGGCCTTACCAATTCACTACTTTGAAAGTGTTTTCTTAAAATTAAAATTGTCGTCCATCAAAGGGAAAGACGGGTATCATATGTTATCACTTATATGCAGAAACTTTAAAAAGGATATAAATGAACTTAATTACAAAACAAAAATAGACTCGAAGACATAGAAAACAATTGTATGGTTACCAAAGGGGAAAGCGGTCGGGAGGGATAAATTAGAAGTTTGGGACTAGCAGACACAAACTACTACATATAAAATAAACAGCAAGGTCCTACTGTATGGCACAGGGAGGTATATTCAATATTTTGTAATAAACTGTAATGGGAAAGAATCTGAAGATTAAAAGACACTCCTTGGAAGGAAAGTTATGACCAACCTAGACAGCATATTAAAAAGCAGAGACATTACTTTGTCAACAAAGGTCCATCTAGTCAAGGCTATGGTTTTTCCAGTGGTCATGTATGGATGTGATAGTTAGACTATAAAGAAAGCTGAGTGCAGAAGAATTGATGCTTTTGAACTGTGGCGTTGGAGAAGACTCTTGAGAGTCCCTTGGACTGCAAGGAGATCCAACCAGTCCATCCTAAAGGAGATCAGTCCTGGGTGTTCATTAGAAGGACTGATGCTGAAGCTGAAACTCCAATACTTTGGCCACCTGATGCGAAGAACTGACTCATTTGAAAAGACCCTGATACTGGGGACGATTGAGGGCAGGAGAAGGGGATGACAGACGATGAGATGGTTGGATGGCATCACCAACTCGATGGACATAGATTTGGGTGAACTCCGGGAGTTGGTGATGGACAGAGAGGCCTGGTGTGCTACGGTTCATGGGGTCACTAAGAGTCGGACACGACTGAGCAACTGAACTGAACAGATTATATACCTGTGTAACTGAATCACTTTGCTATATACCAGAAGCTAACACAACATTGTTAATCAACTGTGCTTCAGTTAAAAAATTTGTAGTCAGTCAAATATTTATTTTGGAAAGAGAGAGTTAATTTCCCTTTTGGCTTCTGACTTAGATTTTTAGAATTCATGCTGCATAATTCCCTTGTGATGATACTGAGATGGGAAACTAGGAGCTAGAAATCATCTTTTACTGACTTTAAGTTCTGCCACTCAAGTTCTGAGCAAGCCCGATGCTTCACCTCACTTTCTTTTTCCCTCCTGTCTTAATAAAGTCTGATTTGGATGGTGGGAGAGCCACTCACCCTTGTCCACGTATTTGCTTCTGTCCAGCCTGCGGTGATCTTGGGTGCACACACTGAGTATCTAGAAAGGGCCATTTAGTGGAAGATATTTATTATACCAGGGCCATCTTCCATTGTGTTACACACATTCTTCTATTTTCAGTCTGAGCTTTTTAAGATGTAAATCATCAAGAAACAAGTTTCTGTAACATTTTTTAATATGCTGAATTTCTTCTTATTACAGAGTAAAGAGATTGCATTCCAGCTTCATGAGGATTTGATGAAGGTTCTCAATGAGCTCTATACGGTAAGCACATAACCTTTCTTTAGGAAGAATCTTTGGTTTAGAATTCTGGTTTGCGGAAACGCTTCTCTCATTAGAACTCATTCCAAGTAGAGCGTTGCTGAATGCTTTTCTGGTTGAAATGTGGAACCTACAGACAGATGTGCACTATGATATTCTTTTTCTGCTGTCTGCCGATTTGAAGAGACTGTATTCAAGTAACTACATATATGCAGTCAGAACACTTCAAGAAATGGGACTATAGTTGTCCGCAAAGGGATGTTTTTATTTTTTCTCTTTTTTATTTTTTTTATTTTTTCATTTATTTTTATTAGTTGGAGGCTAATTACTTTACAATATTGTAGTGGTTTTTGCCATACATTGACATGAATCAGCCATGGGTGTACATGTGTTCCCCATCCTGAACCCCCCTCCCACCTCCCTCCCCATCCCATCCCTCTGGGTCATCCCAGCTCACCAGCCCCAAGCACTTATCTCAAGTGTGAAACAGATCGCCAGTCCAGGTTGGATGCATGAGACAAAGGGATGTTTTTAAATGGTTGGATTATATGTGTGATCTGTTTGTTTATTCTACTCCAGAATATATGGAGGGGGGTAATCTCTTTTTCCTTCTTGGCAATCATTTGCTTTTCTGAATGTAAATTTTATTCAACTTAATGCATATAAGCAGAAGAAATTAAATGATTAAATATTAAAAAAAAACAAAATCAATGATTAGTCATATGCCTATGTAAATTTTGTTTTACACTCAGTGATCGTATTATTAAATACAAATTTCTTTTGAAGGAACTTGATGAGTTTTTATTTAATAAGAGAACAGCATATTGAATTGAGTAATATTAATTTGTTCTGACTAAAGATATTTGCGTTTTCATTACAAAAGATAATTTAAATTTTCCTTTATAGGCAAATTAAACCTGAGACTTATTATTAAAATATGTTTCTTGATTTATTATTTTATTTGTTCCTAAAAAGCAAGTGTGTAAAATGCAGTTTTGTGTTTTTAAATTGCATTTAATGCTCCATTGATACTTGCTAATTAAAAGAACCTGTAGTTTTAAAGTTTAAAAGAGGTGATATTTTTATAAAATTCACATTCCAGTTTTTCTGTGTGTGTGATAAATTTGTTTTTATGCAGCATATTTGCTACACCTGTGCTTTTAGTTAAATTACAGTTTCTAATTGCTGCTGCTTTCTTTAGAAACTTCACATGCAAAAACCTCATATTATAAGGTCATACTCATAAAAAAATACCTAATGAGGTTGAGTTTTTGATGATAAAAGTCATTTGTTAATTTTGGATAACCAAAGGTATCAAGCATTTCTAGAAATCCTGGACATAGAATTTAAAAGTTAAAGGAACATTGTACCTCTGAGACTTACAAAAAAGAAATTCTGTCTTCTTGCATTGAACTGTTTTCAAATGAGGGCTTTGTGGCAGTTTTCTTGTGGTTTCCTTTGCTTGCTCGTTGTTTTACCTAGAAATATAAGTCAGTTTCTAAAACTTTAAAAAATCTAATAGTTGTCATGGCATCATAAACAACAACCTGTTGTTTATGGTCTGAAACTAGCAGTGCTAGTCAAAGCAACAGTGGCAAAGATAAGTTTGACTTTTGAATATTAGAAAAGTCAGTAGAATGTCATGAAAATTTTACCTCAGTGGGGATGTGTCTAGAGAAATTTCTCCTGGATTCAGCCTATCAAGTGCAATTAGACATTTAGGAGACTATAGTTGAGTTAAATAAGTTGATATTTCCTCAAACCTCTGATCAGGATCAGTCTGAAAGCCTGAAGGAGCCAGGTTCTAGAAAAGGCCATAAGAGTTTCATTTAAATAACCCTGTCAGTCATTTGATCTTTGAATCAGTTGAGGAATCAAGGCACGAGGAGACAGGCAATGAGGTTTTCATTAGGTGGTCTGTAGATCACTGAGCTCTTGGAAGAAGCTTTTACTTTAACCAAACCAGAGAGCATGCACATTTGTGGTCAGAGGTCAGGTTCCTTTGGTCATGTTCCTTTATTACACACACACACACACTTTTTACTCTAAAAAGTGATTATTTTGTCTCTCTTGTGGTTTAAGTCCAGATAGATAAACTCTGTCTTGTTCAAATGAAAGCTGTCCGTTACTCATATTCAGTTTACATTCAGAAAGGAGGAAAAGGTGAAGAGTATTTGACCAGAGGACCAGAGATTAGGGGAATGTGGTTTAGGTTCTTTATTCAACCACTGACTGGTCACAAATAAATTACCCTCTGAGTTGCATCATGCATAGAATTTTTTTGTAATTTTATTGATCGATTTTATAATTGGCTCTGCTGGGTCTTTATTGCTGTGGGCTTTTTTCTAGTTCCTGTTTACCAACAAAGGTCTGTCTAGTCAAGGCTATGGTTTTTCCAGTCGTCATGTATGGATGTGAGAGTTGGACTGTGAAGAAAGCTGAATGCTGAAAAATTGGTGCTTTTGAACTGTGGTGTTGGAGAAGACTCTTGAGAGTCCCTTGGACTGCAAGGAGATCCAACCAGTCCATCCTAAAGGAGATCAGTCCTGGGTGTTCATTGGAAGGACTGATGCTGAAGCTGAAACTCCAATACTTTGGCCACCTCATGTGAAGAGTTGACTCATTGGAAAAGACCCTGATGCTGGGAAAGATTGAGGGCAGGAGGAGAAGGGGACGACAGAGGATGAGATGGCTGGATGGCATCACTGACTCGATGGGCATGAGTTTGAGTAAACTCTGGGAGTTAGTGATGGACAGGGAGGCCTGGGGTGCTGCAGTTCATGGGGTTACAAAGAGTCGGACACGACTGACCGACTGAACTGAAGAGCAGAGGCTCTCTCTAGTTGCAGCATGAGCACGTCCCACTGCAGAGACTCCCCTGTTGCAGAGCACGGACTTCAGGGCCCTCAGGCTTCAGCAGCTGTGGCTCCTGGGCTCTAGAGCACGGGGTCAGTAGTTGTGGCGCACAGGTTTAGTTGCTCCTCGATACATGGATCTTCCTGGACTAGGGATCAAACCTGTGTCTCCTGCACTGGCAGGCGGATTTTTCACCACCGAGCCACCAGGGAAGCCGCACACATAGAATCTTGTACAACTGATGATGTAATAATGATTGTTCAAGTAACATATAAAATATGTAGCCTCAGGGAAATGAGAATGCTATTAATTGCCTTTTCAAACAAATTCCCTCCTCCCTTTCTCTTAACCTTTACTCCTTAGGAGTTGAAGGTGAACTCCTTTTTTGAGAGGTGCATTAACTGCCTTAAACTAGTGGGGTGCTTTATATTACAACACAGTCAGCCTTAGCAGTGGGCAGTAACCTTATGTGTGGGCTTCCCTGCCCAAAAGTAATTCTCATATAGGTCTGTTAATAATTCCAAATACTCTATCAGAAACTATTGTCTTAAATAAGATACAAATGCCCAAGACAAATAGAAAAGAATACCATATAATCATTTTACATTTTAATTGAAATCGGTTTTATCAGATCCTTTGAGAACAGATTATATCCATCTGGCATGAAGGCCTGGACCGCTGAGCAGGGGAGAGAAGATGGTGGCATCCAAGTGCTGTCTGGAAGGAGAGGAAAGGCTGTGAAGACATGAATCCTCTTTTCTATAATTTTGCCTCATCCTTGCCTTTGTTTATAGAAATGGGACCTCAAAATGGTTTTGGGCCAGCCACAGTAGTTAGGATTAGTTGGACCTTTAACAGGTACTCTATCATGCCAGGGAATAATGATATAAACAAGATAGACATTTATTATCTCTGTCACATAGAAGAATTTCAGAGATTGGCAGCCCAGGACTGGTATGGAGGTTACATATAGCCATAGAAGAATCTGGCTCCTCCTAATACACTATTCAGAGAAAAGTATCTGTATCTTTGTCCTTATATTTCAAGGTAGTTGCTAAAGCTCCAGTCATTATACCTGCATTCCTGAAGTGGAGAAAGGAGACTCCAATAGGAGAAAGGAAAGAAGGGCAGGCCCTCTGTCTCTTACAAAGACTTAATGAAGGTTCTGTATCACACTTTCACCTACATCTCATTGGCCAGAACTTTCAGTTTCAATTTCAATTCAGTCACTCAGTCATGTCTGACTCTTGGCGACCCCATGGACTGCAGCATGCCAGGCCTCCTTGTCCATCACCAACTCCCAGAGTCCACCCAAACCCATGTCCATTGAGTCAGTGATGCCATCCAACCATCTCATCCTCTGTCATCCCCTTCTCCTCCTCCTTTCGGTCTTTCCCAGCATCAGGGTCTTTTTCAAATGAGTCAGTTCTTCGCATCAGGTGGCCAAAGTTTTGGAGTTTCAGCTTCAGCATCAGTCCTTCCAATGAATATTCAGGACTGATCTCCTTTAGGATGGACTGGTTGGATCTCCTTGCCGTCCAGGGAATCTCAACAGACTTCTCCAACACCACAGTTCAAAAGCATCAATTCTTTGGTGCTCAGCTTTCTTTATGGTCCAACTCTCACATCTGTAAATGCCTACTGAAAAAACCATAGCCTTGACTAGATGGACCTTTGTTTTTTTTTTTTTTTTTAAATTTTATTAGTTGGAGGCTAATTACTTTACATCATTACAGTAGTTTTTGTTATACATTGATATGAATTAGCCATGGATTTACATGTATTCCCCATCCCAGTCCCCCCTCCCACCTCCCTCTCCACCCGATCCCTCTGGGTCTTCCCAGTGCACCAGGCCCGAGCACTTGTCTCATG